TATTTAAATTAAATAAATTTTATTTGAATCAATAATTTAAGTATTTGAAGTAAATACGATTTTAATTGATTTGAATAAAAATTATTTGATTAAAGTAAATCTTTAATTGATAATAGTCAAGTAAATCGTTAATTTTAATACAAATAAATTTTTTTTCAGTGTATGTAGTAGTAATTGATAAAATATATTTTCAAAGGAGGAATACTGCAAGCTTGTCCAAACGAAGAATATCACGTAATTAGTGTGGGACTTTTAAATGAACACGACACAGCAAAGCCACTTTTAATTGTAACTGCAGATGTGATAAAATTGAAAAATGATTTTGCTACAAATATTGGATATATTATACCACAATCAAAAATACCTCAACTCGATATTGAAAAATTGTCACATCAAATAGGAGAAATTATTCTTCGAGAGCAATACATTGGATTTTATGGAATTGACATTATTGTCTTTGAAAACAATTCAAAAGTAATTTTTCTATTTAATATCCCTTTTAAATTAAGTAAATACTATGCTAAATACAAAATTTACTTAAATAAAAATTAAAATAATAAATTTTTCAAATAATTTAAATAATTAAAATTTTAAATTCACTTATAAAGTACAAAATTAATTATTACTGTTCATATTTTCTAAAATTTTAATAAATCCTTCTAAACAATTCAATTATTTTCTAAAATTTTAATAAATCCTTCGAAAAAATTCAATTTTTTAAATAGTCAAATTCTTCGCAAGAATTTAATTAATTTTATAAATATAGTAAAATTCTTTGAAGGAATTCAATTATTTTCAAAACAATTTTAATTGAATTCCTCGGATGAATTCAAATATTTTAAAATACTTCCATAAATTTCAATTATTTCCTAAAATTTTAATAAATTCTTCAAAAAAATTCAACTTTTTTTTATAAATACTGAAATTCTTTGCTGGAAATAAATAATTTTTAATCCAATTTAAATAAAATTACACGAAAGAATTTAATTATTTTCAAAAATTTCCATAAAAATCAATTTCAACAAGAATTTAAAATTCTCTAAAAATAATTCAATTATTCTCAAAATATTTTTTAAGAAATTCTATATATAAAAATTAAATTACTTTCAATGCAATTTTTAAATATATTCGTCAAAAAAATATTGGAAGAATTCAATCATTTTCAAAAAATAATAAAATTCTTGTGATGAATTCCATTATTTTGAATATTACTTAATTTTAATAAAATTCTTTAAAAAAATTAAATTATTTTCGAAACAACTTTAATTGAATTTCTCAAAAAAAAATTCATTATTTTCAAATATTTTCATAAAATTCTTTATAACAATTTAATTATTTCTTAACATTTTAATAAATTCTTCGTAAGATTTCAATTATTTTTATAAATACTAAAATTCTTCGCAATAATTCAATTATTTTTATAAATAGTAAAATCCTTTGCAAAAATTCAATTCTTTTCAAAACAATTTTAATAAAATTCCTCGAAAGAATTTAAATTTTTAAATATTAACATAAAATTCATTTATTTTCTAAAATTTTAATAAATTCTTCGGAACAATTCAATTATTTTTATAAATAGTAAAATTCTTCGCAATAGAATTCAATAATTTTCAATTCAATTTGAATAAAATTCTTCTTCATAAAATTTAATTGCTTTTAAAATTTTCAATTAAAATTATTAAAGAAACTCCATTAGTTTAAAAACAATTTAAAATAATTTAATTAGGATTTTTTTTAAATTTTAATAAAATTCTTTGCGAGAATTCAGTTGTTTCCCTAAATAATAAAATTCTTTGAAGAAATTCTATTATTATAAAATTTTTTGATAAAATTCTTTGCAACAATTCGATGATTTTTAATACATTGATTTTAAAATTAAAAATATTTGAAAAGAAAAAATATTAAAAAGGGTAAAAAGCAAACAACTAACTTCAAACTGCGAACAGATTACCGGAACATGTACTTTATTATTAATAATTATTATTATCTATTTTTGTTGTGCTTATTATTATATAATAACTACATTATTGTACTAAAAAAATTTCTTTTATTACTCAAGGTTCAAGAATTATGGGTCGTTAATGTCAATCCTTACTATACGGACTTGTTATCATTCAATGATTGGAAATTATTTTGTTCCAAACAGTGTTCATGTTGTCCCATAACGTAAGTATAATTAAAGAATTAAATTGACACAAACGATATAGACAATTAATAATTGACAAGAAAGTAGATAAAAATAGAATTTTATATTATATAAATTTTACAATTATGTATAATAATTTTATAATAATAAATAAATAATTAAATAATTTTATTATTAGTACATAACTCGAAAGATCAAATCCCTGAATGTTCAAAATATATAAAGTTCAACTCCCCAGCCGTATAATAATAATTATAATTTTAAAATAAGAATCAGAATAATAATTGTAATCGCTAGTAATAATTAATTACTGATTAATTAAATTTATTATTAATTATATTAATAATTACAATTACTTAATAATTATTTGAACAAATAATTATAATAAATACTTTTAATCATATAAAAATATCTATAATCAGAATTAATTTCCAAATATAATATTTAACAGAAATGTGGAAAAAAGCTATGCCGTTTGTAGTGGAAAATTATACACTTCTGGTCTATCAAAATACTGTGGTCAAGAGATTATTGCATTTTGCAAAACACACTACGATCATAAGGTACATTAATGTTATTTTGAAAAAAAAATTAATAACACACCACACAAGTGTTTTATACCTGATGATAAATTTGTATTTGAAGAATCATTAATTCGAAATAGGAAATTCTAATGAATTTTTTATCCTCATTAATATATTGTGTAATAATCTAATAATCAACGTGATTAATTTTAAATTCTTAGCAAGTTTCAAGTGTTCAAGCTCATTCCACTTGTTTCATCGAATCTACTAGATTAATAATTATATATTTTTAGTTACCTAATCACGTTTGTTATCAAAGTCAATTTAATCCAACTAATATTTTTCCCCTCAAAGAAAAACAGACTAATTTTGTTTATTAAAAAAAAATAAACAAAATGTCCCGTCTATAAATAAATAAAAACAATACAACTCTCTAAATTTGAATTAGTAAAAATGTTTACTAATTTGATTTAGTGACTGACTCTTTGTTTTTTAATACGTAAATTTTACTGATAAATTAGTAGTAAATACTATTTATTTTATTTTTATTATTTTTTATATATTTATTGTTATCATATCTTTAAATTTGAATTAGTAAAAATGTTTACTAATTTGATTTAGTAACTGACATTTTGCTTTTGAATAAGTAAATTTTACTAATGTAGAAATTACTATTTATTAGTAAAATAATAATTTAGTAGAAATTACTATTAGTAAAATAATAATTTAGTAGAAATTACTATTTATTAGTGAAATAATAAATTAGTAGAAACTATTTATTAGTAAACTGAGAAATTAGTAGAAATTACTATTTAGTAGTAAAATAAGAAATTACTATTTTTTAGTAAAATAATAAATTAGTAGAAATTACTATTTATTAGTAAACTTTACTAATTCAAAAGCAAAAAGTCAATCTCTAACTCAAATCAGTAATTTTTACTAATTAAAATTTAAAAGGAATTAATCAAAAAACATAATTAAAAAATAAAAAAAATTTTGAGAAATTAAATAATTAATAATATAAAAAATTAGAAAAATTTTCTTTCAAGGAAAAATCTGGCTGCATCTTATGTCCCATTGATTACAACAATAGAACATTTTTTATCTATTCACAAAATTCGAATAGAAAAATAGCGATAAAAAAATTCATCGAAACTTTAAGGACTTTAACGAAACTTTCATTAGGAATGCAATCAGATAAACTTGATTCAAATATGCAGGTGAGATAAATTATAGTGTAACGTATATAATTTTTATGCTTTTCAAAAAAAAACAATTTATTAATAATTATTCTTTTATCAAAGATTAGTAATAATAATATTAACATGGGTTATTTTTCTTTTGGTTTTTGTTATCAGCAACTTGCAAGGGAACTGGAAAAAAAGGAATTACATAATTTCGCAAATTGACTCACAACTGCATGTAATCACAAACATTAAATCCCGATAAGTAATAATCGTTTATATGATATTATAAAGTATTTTTATTGGTTTATTGTTGAACATTTTTTTCTTAAAACTTGAAAGAAATAACAAAAGTACGAAACAATAATTAACAACTAATGAATCTTTTTTTTTCTTTCTGGTAAATATATGATAAGTACATTGAAAATATGTATTTTGTAATGACAAAAATTTTTTATATTTCATCTCAGTGAGAAAATATTTTAATTATTTTCAGTTAAATTTAATGACACATTTTTTCTCGTTTTGATTTTACTTTTAATATTAACAAAAAATGTACTTTTCGATTTTTTTATTTTATTTACACAATAGTTATTTCATTATATAACAAAATAATTATTATATAAATAAAAATGAAAAAATTTAATATAATAATAAATTATTATTATAATAATATAAGAATAATACTGTTATAGTAATATTATAATACTATTATAGTTATATTATAATTACACTATTATAATAATATCAGAAAACGGAAAATAACTTTTAACTGAAATAGTGCTAAGTTTCTCTAGAATAGAGAAAGTTTTAACTAAATCAACAAAAATTTTCGCTACTATAATAAAATTTGTAGCTCTTCCAGATAAAAATTATTTTTCGTGATTGATACTATTATAATAACATTAATAATATTATTATTTAACATTAACTGTATTTATAATTTTATTGTTAATTAATAAATAAATATGAATTAAAAAATTAAATTAAAAATAAATATTAATTAATATTAATAATAATAATTTTAGTAGGTAATAATAATAATTATGTATTACTATTATTATTTTAAGTTTTCTATAATTCTATAATTATTTATAAAATAACGTTCTAATTTTTGTCAACAAAATATTTTTTCAATGCATTGACTAGAAAATAAGTTATTTTTTCTTAAAAAAATCTATATTATAATAATTTCATAAGTTTCATTATTAATTAAAATTATTTACGAACTAGAATAGTAAATATATATTTACGAAGGCTTGTAAATATCACTATTTTTTGGACCATTTGTTATTAATTATGGTTATTAATAAGTTTCCAAAAAAAATTTTGTGCTCCAATTTTTTCTTGGACGGATTTTTCCTCAAGGCACTATGCTTTTCTTCTTCTTCTCATTCTCCTTCTTCTACTTCTACTTTTTATCTCTTCTTTTTATCTTCTGTAGAAAAAACTCTTCTCGAAGATTTTTTACAAAATATTACACGTTCTGGACTGTAAATTATTTATATTTTTTTTAAACAAGCAAATAATTTTTTTTAAATATTAAAAGTAATTATTAATTTTAAAATTATATTAACTATTTTAAAAATTTTAATATAGTTCTTCGTAGGAATTCAATTATTTTTGTCAATAATCAAATTCTTCGTAATAGAAATTAAATTATTTTCATTACATTTTTAATAAAGTTTCTTGAAAGAATTCAATTATTTTTATCAATAACAAAATTCTTGTCAGGAATTCAATTATTTTCAAAAAGTTAAACGAAAAATTCTTCCAAAGAATTCTTTTCATAAAATAATAAATTTTTTTTAGAAATTCAATTATTTGCATTACATTTTTAATAAAATGTCATGAAAGAATACAATTATTTTTGTCAATAATAAAATTCTTCTCTGAAATTCAATTATATTAACAAAAAATTCAATTATTTAAAAAAAATAAATTCTTCGCAAAAATTCAATTGTTTTCATAAATATATTAAAATTCTTCTCAAATATTCAATTAATTTCATTACATTTTTAATAAGAATTCTTGAAATAATCCAATTATTTTTATCAATAATAAAATTTTTCACAGAAATTCAAGTATTTTATTATATTTTTTAAAAAATTACTTGAAAGAATTTAATTATTTATAGAATTCAACCTTGGCAGAAATTAAATTATTTTTATTAATAATATAATACTTGACACGAATTCAATTATTTTTAAAAAGTTTAACAAAAATCTCCAAAAGAATTTAATTCATAAAAAGCAATAAAATTTTTGTCAGTAATTCGATTATTGTCATTACACTTTTCATAAAAATTTTGTAAAGAATTCAATTATTTTTAAATTTTGATAAAATTCTTTTTAAGAAATCAATTATTTTCCATATAAATTAAGTTGAATTTTTCAAAATAATTTATATTATTCTCATTTAAATAATATAATTCTTTTTAGAAATTCAATTATTTTTAAAAATGTAAAGAAAATTCGTTGCAATAATTCAATTACTTTCATAAATAATAAAATTCTTCACAGGATTTCAATTATTTTTATTACAATTTTAATAGAATTTCTTCGCAAGAATTCAATTATTTTCAAGGAAAATAATAAATTTCTTAATTCAATTGTTCTTAAGAATTTTACGAAAATTCATCGCAACAATTCAATTATTTTCATTAACCATAAAATTCCTCGCAAGAATTCAATTATTTTTAGAAATAATCAAATTCTTCGCAGGATTTCAATTATTTTTATTACAATTTTAATAAAATTGCTTCCCAAGAATTCAATTGTTTTCAAGAATTGTAAGAAAATTCTTCGCAAGAAATAGGTATTCAATTATTTTCGCAAAAATAATCAAATTCTGTTCAATGATTTCATTATTTTCAAAAAAATTATTATAAATTTTCCCAAGTATTCAATTATTTATTTTCAATTATTTAATTATTAAATTAGTTTCAATAAAATTTCTGAAAAAAAATTCAATTATTTTCAAAAATATTAATAAAATTCCACAATAGAATTCAACTGTTTTAAAAAATTTTGATAAGTTTCTTTTTACAAGGTCATAAATAATATTATAAGAATTTACAAATTAAATTATGAATTTTTAATTCAAAACAATTTTGTTTAATTAATTATAAAAATTAATTAATACAAATTTAAGTAAGTAATTTTACCTTCGACTTCAAGTTTGGCGCAGTGCTCTCTTTATTTCCATTCACCGCTTCCTGTGTTCTCTTGCTTTTAAATAGTCTCGACATTTTACCTTAAAAGAAAAAAGAATTTATTTTTATTCAAAAAAATCAATAATTATCGTAAAATGAAAGTCTCGCAAAATTTTTCTAGAAAAACTGAGAAAACAACATATTTGAATCAAACAATTATCTTTGTTACAAGTCAACCAAAAATTATCTTTAAATTAAACATAATAATTTTGATTCAATAAATAATAAGTTTGATTCAATAAAAATTACTTTTAATTCAATTATAAAATATCTTTAATTTAAACATAAAATATCTTTAATTCAAACATATTTTTTTGGTTGTCTACTTATTTTTGAATTAAAAAATATTCTTCCTCAGTGAATTTCACCTGTTTTTGTTACTGGCGACTGAACGTCATCCGCATCATCAATAATATCCTGATCTTCAATTTTCTCCTCATCCTCAATATCTTTATTAATTTTTTCAAGACTCTCCCCACTGTTTTTCATTCCATTCAATTCATCATCATCATCATCACCTCCTCGTTTTGAAGTTGCAGATCGAGTTTTTTGCGTGTCAATTGATCCAATCGAAGAATTATCCTCCCTCAATTCATTAACCATTTTCTCCTCAATTTCCGAAATTAATTCTGAATCATTATTTTTTATATCATTCTGCGAATCATTATTATTTTTCACCGGTGTCGATGGTACTGTCGATGAATTACTCTCGGTACCGGATTTTTGTCGTGGCGGCTTTGGCGGTGGTTCCATTAATGGTGGTGAAATTGGTTTTTCAATTCTATCCTCGGCCATTATTGCGATTTCTTCAATTTTTTCACTCTCATTAATTATTATTGGTTCAGAGCTGTTTGAAATTGAAGATTTTGCCGTTTCAATATTCTCTTTCTCGCTATTTTCAATATCGGCCTTCTCCTGTATATCGTTATTCTCATTATTATTGGACATATTTTCCAAATTCATTTCTTCCTTCTCATTGGAATTATCAACATGTTCGTTTACGTTCATAGTCGCGTTGTTAACTAAACTACTTTTATTTTCTGCGCATTCACTCGTTTCCGTGTCATTTATCGCTTCATCTTTTATTTTATCAGAGTTTGTATCGATTTTTTGCGTGCTCTCATTTTCCACTTGTTCCGTATTATTTCCTGCTTGAAGCCTGCTAATTGGTATTTTCAAAGGTGGCAGGGGATTTTTCTTTTGCCCCGAGAGATCCTAAAAAAATTAATTTTAACTAAAACTTCTCTTCATTTTAATCTTCAGGCCTTCGATCGACTTCAAGAAACAAAAAAAAGTTGCTTATAGTTGATTAAAAGTATGCAAAAAAAGTTGAAAAAGTCGTTTATTTAATTTAGTCTTGGCACAAAAAATTTATTTTGTATTTCCCTGACTTTCTCCTATTCCACTGATTTCTAAATTCAATTATTCAAAACTTGAATAATCTTCACAGAAATTCAATTTTTAAAAATTTCATGCAAACATTAAATTATTTTTATCAATAGTAAATTTCTTCGCTGGAAATCAATTATCTTCATAAATAATCGATTTCTTCGTAGAAATTCAATTATTTTCAAAAAGTATAACAAAATTCATGGCAACTTTAACTCATCCAAATTTAAAATATTTTCTACAATTTTTAACTAAACTTTATTTCTAAATCAATTATTTTTAATAATTTTACAAAAGTTCTTCAAGAATTCAATTATTTTAAAAATAAAAATTCAATTTTTTTATAATTGTAATTATATTTTCAAAAAATTATAAAGAAATTTTTAAAATTAATTTTTAAAAAAAATTTGTTAATAATTTTTGAAAGATAATAATTTTCAATTACATATCTACAACTAAAAAAATTTCAAATAATTGAAATTTGGTAAAATCTTTTAAAAATAATTGAATTTTTGAAAAATATAAAAAAAAATAATCAAATTAAACGCGATTTTTTCACAAAACTGTTTAAAAATAATTATAAAAATTTTTAATGTTATTATTTTTTGTATGTATTTGAGTTTTCGGAAATATGTAATTGGAAATATTGAAAATAATTGATCTTTAAAAAATTGGAATGAAAATTATCTATAAATTACTTTTTTCAAAAATATTTTAATATAATTTTTAATAGCTAATTTTTATTAATTTTCATTTTCAAAATTTTTACTTGAAGGTTATAATTTTCACTTCTAAGGTTAATTTTCAAAAATTGTCATAAAATATTTGAAAAAAATCAACTATTTTTAATAATTTTACCAAAGTTCTTCAAAAATTCAATTATTTAAATACAAAAATTCAATTTTTGATAATAATTGTAACTGTAACTGTCCATGTTTTTTAGTTATAAAGGTATAATATTTTCAAAAAATTATAAAGAAATTTTTAAAATTCATTTAAAAAAAAATTTTTTTTATAATTTTTGAAAGATAATAATTTTTTAATTACATATCTACAATTGAAAAATTTACAAATAATTGAAATTTGGTAGAATCTTTTAAAAATAATTCAATTTTTTGAAAAATACAAAAAAATAATCAAATTTTTGAAGAATTTTAATTTACTTTATTCGAAGTTAATTGAATCTTAAAAAGTTGTGATAAAACAATTCTGAGAATTACTTTTTTTTTAAATATTGCAATGTAATTTTTTGAAAATAATTTAATTTCATAAAAGAATTTTTGTATAATCAAAAAAGTAATTAAGTTTTTGAAGAACTTTAATTAAAACTTTTGAACACAATTTTTTTTTCCAAAATGTTAAAAATAATTCTGAAAAATTGTAGTGATATTATTTTTTTGAATGTATTCGAATTTGCTGAAAAATGTAATTGAAAATATTGAAAACAAATAAAATAATTGAATTTTGAAAAATTAAAGTGAAAAAATTCTAAGAATTAATATTTTTTAAAAAATTTTAATATTATTTTTAGAAGCTAATTTTCATTAATTTTAATTTTAAATTTACATTTAAAGATTTTTCATTAAAATTTTTGAGAATTCAGTTATTTCCTAAATTTGCAATTAAAATCCTTGAAAAGTTGAATTTCATAAATTGTAATAAAACACTTGATGAAAAAATTTAATTATTATAAATTAAATTTTACACAATTATTCAAAAACTTTTTAAAATGTATATTTCGAAAATTTAATTAGAAAAATTATTCAAAAATAATTTTCAAAAGATTTGTCTGTATAGTTACTTTTCACACAACTTATAAAAATCGAAATAAGTTGCATTTTATACTAAAAATGTGGTTTTTTGTTGCAATATTTCGAAAAAAGTCAAAACATTCGCAAATTTTTGAAAATAAGTCGAAAAAGTCATAATACCCGAGGCCTGACTTTTGTTTCCAAATTCCATTTTTCGATACGAAAAAAAAAAATTGCTTTAGAATAGTTTTGAAATGAATTCTATTAAAAAATTTAATTTAAATTAATTTAATTAAAAAATTAAAAAATCATTTTGAATTATTAATAGAATTTTGTCTCTACTTTGTATAAATTTTGGGGAGAAATTTAGATTCACTTTTCATTCCATTTTACTGAAAAGTACATTTTCTGATCGTAAATATTTCAGGAAAGGCATCACGTGTTGACTTGCATGTAACGTAAACATATGTGCTGGAGAATTTTATGAGCAACTAAAATTTATATTTAGATTCTCGACACGTGTTAAACAGAAATTAATATTAAAAAATTACAGTTGACTTTTAAGGTAACTGTAAATTTAAATAAAAGGTAAATTATACATCAAGTACAAAGAATTTAGCACAGAATTTAGTAACCGAAAGAAAAAAAAAATCGAAAAATTAATGTTGGAAAATAAAAAACTAATGCAAAAGAAAAACTAAAATTACTAATTAAAATTAAAAATAAAATTTCCATTTAGATAATTTAATTTCAATTTAATTGGATATTTTAATTTTAATTTAATTAGACAATTTAATTTTAATTCAATCAGATAAGTTTAAATACTACTTAATATTTCAATTTTAATTTAATTGGAAATTTTAATTTTAATTTAATTAGAAAATTTTATTTTAATTTAATTTTAATGGAATCAGATAAGTTTAAATACCATTTGATTATTAACAGTTTCTCGATTCCCTAAATTCCTTCTTCGACCAATTAAAATTGTATGACAGCCGCCGCACGAAACCTGAAATTAATTAAAATCGAATTTACAAATTTTAATAATTAATTAATAAATATTATTATTATAATTAATAAAAGTAACCATTTTAATTTTTTTTTTAATTGTTTAAAATTTTCTAATTAATGTTATTAATTTTATTAAATATAATAATAATAATAATAATAATAATAATAATAAAATTATGATTTTTAAAAACGAATTACATTTGTAACAAAAAGATCTTGATATCTGGCAGCAAAAGTAAGTTCGTGAACATTATTTTCGTTTTCTTCTAATCCCAATTTTCCATGCCTTCCATCACCACACGTGAAAATTTTTCCATTCTCTGTAAGATTAATTAATTAATTTTTTATTAATATAAATTTAATATTTACTAAATTAAAAATTAATTTAATACTAACGACATTTTCTCGTTCGCTCGTTGATTTAATATTTATTAAGTTTGAATTAATTTAATACTTTATAATTAATTTTATAATTTTATTTTATTAATTTAATACTAGAACTATTTTCTCACCAGTCAAAATTGAACTATGACTCTCGCCGCAGGATATTTTCGATATCGTTTCACTTTCTAAAATATCCAGTGGAAGAATATTTGGTGTTTGTACTTCGGTCACATTTGTGCCCAATCCAAGTTGACCACTTGAATTACTCCCCATGCAATAAATCGCACCATCCTCTAAAAATATTAATAACAAAAATTATTTTCACAACTTTCCAAATAAATTACAAAAAAAAAATATTATTTAAAAAAAAAGTAAATATAAAAACAATAAAAAAAAGAGTGACAATTTACCAGTTAGAATAAGAGTATGATGACCTCCACAAGCAATTTTAGTCGCTAATTTTGGAAGTTGTATTTGTTTAGGTGCAGCTTGAGTTGAAAATTTTACATCGATTCCCAATTTTCCACTTTCTGATTCGCCGCAAATGTAAACGAGACCACTTTCTGAAAATAGTAAACTTTTTTTTAGTTAATTTAATTAATTACTTTTATTTAGTTAATTTGCATTTGCATCGAATATTATTTATTTGACTCAAATGTAATTTATTTGGCTCAACTATAATTTACTGGAATCAAATATACTTTACTTATGACTCAAATATACTTTATTTGACTCAAATATAATTTTTTTGAGTCAAATTAAAGTTTATTTGTCACGAATATTATTTATTTGACTCAAATGCAATTTATTTGGCTTAAATATAATTTACTAGAATCAAATATAATTTATTTAACTCCAATATAATTTTTTGAGTCAAATTAAATTCATTTGTCACAAATACAATTTATTTAAGTCAATTTAAAGTTTATTTGTCTCAAATATAATTTATTTGAGTGAAATTAATGTTTATTTGTGAAAATAAAAATAAAAAAATAAATCCAGAATTTTGTTTAGAAAAAAAAACAAAAAATAAATAAATAAACAAAACAAGAAAATAAAAACAAACGACAAAAGAAAAAATGCAATTAAAAAAAAAAATTACAATCGTAAATTTTGTAAAATTTTGAGTTTTTAATTCAACAGATTTTTGTAAAATTTGATGATAATTTCAATAAAAATGTAGTAGGTATAATTATTATTTACCAGTGAGAAATGCCGAATGATAATATCCAGCACTAATTTGCTTAATTTTTTCTGTCAATTGAACTTTCGTGGGTTTATTAACAAGACCAGTTGTGCCTGGAAGACCAAGTTGTCCTTCCAAATTACTTCCCCAAACGTGAACCACTCCATCGGCTGTGAGAACCATCGAATGATGAGAACCAGCCGATAATTGTACAATTTTCGGTCCAACAATTCCACAATCGTGAACCATTACTGGCGAACTGGAACTATCGCCCACTGCATTACTTCCTCTTCCCAACTGTCCTTCCTGATCGCTGCCGCAAGCAAATATTTTTTGTCCAGCTACACACAAAAAAAAATATGGTAAATTTGACTACTTTTTTACTATTTCCTGTAGTTCCTATAGGCGCCCGTAACATTATTTAGTAAAATGAACTATGACAGAATAGTTAGTCTAACTGTAAAATGTAGTAATAAATACCATTTTTACAGTAAATTTAACTACAAAAACAGTTATCTTAACTATTTGTTGTTAGTCATACCAACTGCTTCATTTAGTTGCAGTAACTAATTTTTCATAGTTCCTATAGGCGCCCGTAACAAATTATAGTTGTAACAACTGTAAAAAATAGTTAAATTAACTATTTAAAGTAGTAAAATGAAATTATTTATTTGTTTTTTATTATTATTGAGTTCCATTTTTTTATATTTTCTCTTACCTATTTTTGTTCATATATAATTTATATATTCAATTCTTATACACCTAACAGAGAAAAATCCCCCAACGCCGGGGATTGAACGCACGACCCTAACATTCGCAAACCGATAACCTAACCACCTAACCACGCTCGCACGCTACGATGACTCGCATTGTACTTGAGGACATTCTTCTTATATTCAGTCATAGTAACTACTCCTTTTAGTTGCAGTAACTAATTTTTTAAGCTCAAGAACTTAGTTGAAATATAGCCAGTATATGATTTTAAATGACTCAACAATAGAGCAGTAGTTAAAAGTACTGTTGAAAATAGTTATTTTCAGAATTTCTGTAGTAAAATTATCCACTTTTTACTAGTTATAAAAAAATTAAACTTACTATTTTCATATAGTAAAAATAACATAAAAATTGTTACTTTTATGACTTTTGTAGTTATAAAAATAAATGTTTCTCACAACCATAGAAATAAATTACCAAAAGCTAGTAAGAATTGGTTCTTTTAACTACATTAAACATAAAAATAAAAAATTATTATTTTGCAAATAGCAAGAAATGGATATTTTTCTACTACAGAGATTCCGAAAATAACTATTTTTAACAGTACTTTTAACTACTGCACTATTGTTGAGTTAAAATGCTGCTGAATATGGTAGTTTTAACTACACTTTTTGAACTGCACATATGTGGCTGTTTTTACCACTCACGTTTTTTCTCTGTAGAAAAAAATGATCTTTTCAACTGCATAAATAGTAAAAATAACTATTTTCAACAATTGATTTTACTATATGAAAACAGTAAATTTCTTTCTTTCTCTGCAACTAGTAAGAAATAGTTGTTTTAACTACATAAATCATAAAAGTAACAACTTTCAGAGGTTGTATTTACTGTATAAAAACAGTAAGTCTCATTTTGTTTGCAACTAATACAAAATAGTTATTTTTGCTACCACAATAGTAAAATTAACTATTTTTAACAATAGTTTTTACTACTACACTATAGTTGAGCCATTTACAAGCATCTGTTAGTTATTTCAACTACGTAAAGTAGTTATTTTAACTACATAAAACCAACTACTTCATTTTGGTTTCACTAACTGAGGAAGTGTAGTTAAAATGCTGCTGAATATGGTAGTTTTAACTACTTTTTTTCTAACTACACGTATGTGGTTGTTTTTACCATTCGCATTTTTTTCTGTGTAAAATAAAAATTCACTTTACAATCATTTTCTTTTTTATATTCAAATTTTTCCACATTAATTTTTCAGGTACCAACAAATTTTTCTTCTTCACCTATTATACAGTGAAGACGCAAATAGTTTATAATTTTTTTTATTTAATAAACATTTAAATAAATAAACAAATAAATAATTATATACATCCAGAAAAAATATTTATTTCACTCAGAGCCAATTAGACTCTTTATTTGTTTTAAATAAATTTTATTTGGTTTAAATAAAATTTTATCGGGTTCAAATAAAAGTTTTATTTATTACGAATAAAACTTTTTGTTAATCAAATAAATATCCTAGTTGGGTCTGAGATAAATATACTTTTATTATTAGGATATTTGATTCTAATAAAATTTTTCTCTAGATGTAAATATATTTATTAAATAATTTAAATATTTCTAAACTCTATTTGACTATTTATGTCTATAAATTATTATTATTATTATTAATCAAAAATAAAAATATCATTTTTAATGTCATTAAATAAAGTAAATGTCATAAACTATTTTTTATTTTAAAAATAAAAATACTATAATTATATTTATACCTTCAATTCAAAATTTTTTTTTAATTTATAAAAGAAAAAAAAGAAAAAATTAAAAAAATAGAACAAATAAATAATGAGGATAATGAGTTCACTGACTTCAGGTGCATTAAAAAGCTTTTACATTTATGTCTATCATTCGATTTCCCCCCCTTGGAGACTCACCGGTGCATATCAAAGTATGAGCTCTTCCACATGCGACATGTGTCACTTTCTCCGGCTTCAGAACTGCAAGAAAAATGCAATTTATCATTTTATTATTCATTTTTTTGTAAATTGATTTTTCCTGTATACGAATTATGTACTTTCAAAGAAATTTTCATGCAAAGTATAATATAGAATAAATATTAGAAAATAAAATTTTATTCTCAGAATAAAATTTTATAAATAAATTACATTCTATTAATCAAGTTTATTATTAAAGTATAATAATTTATCAATTAAAATTATTACTACATTTTATTATTTGAATAAAATTTTATTCGACGCAAATAAAAATTTTATTTGATTCAAATAAAATTTATATTCAGGGTTGACACAAAAAAAAATTTTGTTTTTCCCCGACTTTTTCCTGATTTCCAGACAAAATTTTGACTTTTTCCCTGACCCTAAAGAATATTCTGATTCACTCTAAAAATTATTAAGATACTCAAAAAAATATTCTATTACATTTACTTAAGAATTTCTTTAATTTATTGTAAAATTATTCGCAAACATGAATAACTTCATTTTTAAATAAAGTATTTAATTATTATTTTTCCATAAGAATTAAAATTCTTCGAAACATTTAAATTCAAACATTTTTAAAATTCAACAACTTTAAAGAATATTATTACAAAACATGAAGATATGAATCACTCCGAGTCTTTGACTCGGAGTAATTTATATCTTTATGTTTTATAAAAAAAATATAGATTTACATAAGATTGTTTCAAAAAAAAATTAAATTATTTACAAAAATTATAATAAAATTCTTCGCAGGGTTTCAATTATTTTTAATACAATTTTAAGTAAACTCTTCGAAAAATGTAATTATTTTCAAAAATTTTATTAAAATTCTTCGAAAGAATTCAATTATCAATTATTTTTAAAAATTCATGCAATAATGCTTTTAATATTCAATTATTATCTAAAATTTTAACTGATATTCATTTTTAAATCAATTTTTATTGGAAAATTCTACGAGAATTCAATTATTTAAATACAAAAATAAATAATTTACTGAATAAATGAATGTTTCTCTAAATTGAATCATCATAAAGAATTTTATCAACATAATTAAATTTTTTCGAGCAATTTTAATAAAATTTACAAGAATAATTAAATTTTTTGAGAATTTCGATTAAAATTGTATTAAAAATAATTGAAATTCTATGATAAGTTTTATTATTCATGAAAATAATTGAATTTTTTGTAAAAAATGTTATTGTTTATAAAAATAACTGAATTATTGCGAAGAAATTTATAAAAAATTTCTAAATAGTTGAAGTCCAGTGAAATTTTAATTATTTATGAAAATAATTAAATGTTTGCGTGGAATTTCATTAAAATTTTTTTTAAATAATTGAATTCTTTTGAAAAATTTGATTAAAATAGTAGATATTGAAAATCATTAAATTGAGAAAAATTTTTTGAAAATAATTGAAATTTTGCAAAGTGTTTTATTAAAATTTTTGAAAATAATTGAAATTTGGCGAAGAATATTATTATTTTTAAAGATAATTGAATTTTGACGAGAATTTTTTTAGTATTTTTGAACATAATTGAATTTCTGCGAAGAATTTTATTACTTTTGGAAATAATTGAATTTCTGCAATCATTTGTAATTCCTACAAAATTCAATTTTTTCCAGTTTAATAAAAATCCCTGACTTTTCCCTGAATTCCCTGACCTGTGGCAACCCTGAATATTTCATCCGAATAAAATTTATTTGTAACAAATATAAAAAGTCTATACATAGTTGGCTCTGAATCCTTTTTTCTGCGGGCGTGAGACTAAAAGTTTAGACGTAATGTTCATTATGCATAATGAAAGAAGAAGAAATTTTCTTATCAGTGAAGGATCGCAGCTTATTAAGCTGCCATAATTCACATATGCACGTGTGCATTAAATTCAGGAAAGAGAAGAGATTTATTGTGAAAGGCAAATATGTTAATACTGACTTTTAACGCATGATGGTTTGCTCACGTGATTCTTGTGTCCAAGTCCAAGTTGACCCCAATCATTGCTGCCAAAAACGAACAGTCGTCCACTTTCTGAAAGAAAATTTCCAAATTTGACAATAACTTAAAAAATAATTGTATACCAATAATATTTAACCAATAATATCTCTCAGTATAAATTATATTCCATCATTTCCAAACAGACAAAAATCTTTTAACTTCTAAAATAAAGAAAAAACCACAAACAAAAATTTTAAAAATTATCCAAAATATTCTCTACATCTCTATTCAAAAGAAAAATAATTGAAAGATTCTTTCAATCAAACGAATTAAGCATTTAAATTATTTTACATTAAATATTAAAATTTAAACTAAAATTCTTCTTTAAATCAATTATTTTTAATAATTTTCGTAAAAGTTCTTTAACAATTTTCAAATCCATTTGTTTACAATACCCAGGTGCGAATTTTGGTCGGCCGCCAGAGTTGGCAGGTCGGGCCCAGGTCGGCCCATCTATGGCTGCCAATAGGTCGGCAGCCAAAGTCGGGCCGACTTTGGTTACTGTTTCCACCCAAGGTTGGGCCGACTATGGGTGCCAAAGTTTAGAGAACCTAATTTTAGTTGGTCGGGCCGACTCTGGCCTCAGTCGGGCCGATGGTCGGTAAAACTATGGCAGCCAGAGTGTAAAAAACCTAATTTCTGTTGGTCGGGCCGACTCTGGCCTGAGTCGGGCCGATGGTCGGTAAAACTATGGCAGCCAGAGTTTAAAAAACCTAATTTCTGTTGGTCGGGCCGACTCTGGCCTGAGTCGGGCCGATGGTCGGTAAAACTATGGCAGCCAGAGTTTAAAAAACCTAATTTCTGTTGGTCGGGCCGACTCTGGCCTGAGTCGGGCCGATGGTCGGTAAAACTATGGCAGCCAGAGTGTAAAAAACCTAATTTCTGTTGGTCGGGCCGACTCTGGCCACGGTTGGCCCGACCATCTTAAAAAACATTTCTATACTGCCATGGTAGAAATTAAAAGTTTTTGTGTTAATTATTTTAGCTAAAATGGATTAAACAAAAACTAATAAACGTTATCTGATTTATTAATCGTTATGAATTACAAATTTCTTTTTTTAAATTGCAGCTTATAAATTCATTTTTGTTCTTAGGCTTTCATGTAAGCGTAGCGTAATGGTTAGCGTGTTAGACTTCGGTGCGTTAGGTTGCGAGTTCGATCCCTGCGAGCGTTAGAAATTTTAATTTGTATTTATGTATAAGATTGCGTCTAGTGTTAAGATGAATGCGATAAATAAATAAATAAATAATGAATATTTAGATATCACTTAATATCTGTTAATTGTAAAGTTAATAATTTTTTGTAAACGGTCGGCCGACTATTGGCTGCCAAGGTCGGCACGACCATGGTTGCCAAAATGAAGCCGACCTTCTTTCTCATGGTCGGGAAAACTTTGGCACCCCTGGTCGGCCCGACCATGTTAGCCACTGGACGGCGGGTGTTACAATTCACTAGTTCGGCCGACCTTTGGCTGCCAAGGTCGGCACGACTATCCACTTGGTCGGCGCGACCATGGCTTGACCAACTTTTCGCACCTGGGTATTCAATTTTACGAAATTTCAATTATACGTAAATTCTTCATCAATTAAACTTTTTCAAAAAAATTAATTTCAAAATCCAATTATTTCTAAAAATTCACGTTATATTGCTTTTAATATTCAATTTTATTATATTTAAAATTTTAACTGAAATTCATTTTTAAATTAATTTTTATTAGAAAATTCTATTAGAATTCAATAAATTATTTAAATACAAAGTAAATAATTTTTTGAACAATTGAAGGATTTCATAAAATTCAATTTTCCCGTAAAGAATTTCATAAACAAATTTTTAAATAATTGAATTCTTTCGACGAATTTATTTAATAAAATGTTTAAGAATAATTAGATTTTTCGACAAAAACCGTTTAAAATATTGTATTAAAAATAATTCAAATTCTGCGATGAATTTTATTATTTGTAAAAATAATTGAATCCTTAAGAATATATTTTAATAATATATATTTTTAAATATATTGGTATTCCTGAAAGGAATTTTATTATTTATAAAAATAATTAAATTATTTTGAAAAATTTAATTAAATTTGTATGGAAAAGAATTGAATTCTTATAAAAAATGTTATTAAAACTTTTATTAAAAATAATTGAATTTTCCAAAAATTTTGTTAAAACTGTATTGATAATAATAATTAAATACTTGAGAAAATCTTTTAACATTTTTTTGAAAATAATTAAATTCTTGAAAAAATTTGATTATTTTTGTGAAAATAATTGAATTTCCACTAGGAATTTTATTGTTATTGAAAATAATTGAATTCTTGCGAAGAATTTTTTTACAATTCTTGAAAACAATTGAATTCTTGGAAAGAAATTTATTATTTATAAAAATAATTACATTTTTCGCGGAATTCATTAAAAATGTTATTATAAAAATAATTGAAATCATACGATGAGTTTTATTGTTTATAAAAATAATTGAGTTCTTGTAACGAATTTTATTTACATTTTTAAAAATAATTGAAATGTTTTAAAAATAATTCAAATTCTGCGATGAATTTTATTGTATTTGTGAAAATAATTGAATCCTTAAAAAGAATTTTATTATTTTTGAACAATATTTAATTTTTGCGAAGAACATTATAACTCTTGAAAATAATTAAATTTCTGCAATAATTTGTAATTTTTCCAAAAGTAAATTTTATTTTTGTGTTTTTAACTAAAATTCTTCTATAAATCCATTATTTTCAATAATTTTATAAAAAGTTCTTTGAGAATTTTCAAGTTCATTTGTTTACAATTCAATTTTACAAAATTTCAATTATTAGTAAATTCTTCAATTAAATATATATTAGAAATCAAAAACTTTAAATAATTTTAAAAAAAATCCGCAATTAAACTTTCTCAAAAAAATTAATTACACAGAATTGTCAGTTAAAAATATGAGAAATTCAGATTTTCAAAGATTTTAATTTGAAACCTTTTCAAAATTCAATTATTTCAAAAAATTCATGCTATAATTGTTTTAATATTCAATTATTATCTAAAATTTTAACTGAAATTTATTTTTAAATCAATTTTTATTAAAAAATTCCACTAGAATTCAATTATTTTAATACAAAAATAAATAATTTATTGAATAATAAAATTGCATGTTTCTTAAAATTGAATTCTCATTCACCCAGAGAAATGGTATATTTGTCTCAGAACCAACTAGACTTTTTATTTGTTTGAAATAAATTTTATTTGGTTTAAATAAAATTTTATTTATCTCAAATATATGTTTTATTTATGTCGAATAAAATTTTTATTATTAAAAGAAATAAAAAGTCTAGTTGGTTCTGAGACAAATATATACGTTTATTTAACTCAAATAAAATATATTTGGTTTAAATAATATTTTTCTCTGAGTGTATCTGTATCTCTATACAAAACAAAATTAATTGAAATATTCTTTCAATCAAACGAATTAAACATTTAAATTATTTGAAATTAAATATTAAAATTTAAATAAATATTTAAATTAATTATTAATATTTACACCTAGAGGAAAATTTTATTTAAACCAAATAAACTTTATTTGAAACAAATAAAATTCTAGTTGGCTCTGAGTCTAATATATTTTTGTCTGTGTGTAAAAACTGTAGTAGACTCTTTTTTCAGGGTGTAAATAATAATTCAAATTAATATAATCACAACAATATTTAAAAAAATTAACATTTAAGGGAATTTTTTGAGTCGTTGACACTTTCAAATACGAAATTTCAATTTCAAACGACTTTCGTCACGTGACGATAAACGAAAGTTAATCTCAAATAAAACAGGGACAAAGAAATATAATGAAAGTGACGCGAGTTTATTAAAAAAAAAAGAAACAGCTTTGAGAGAAAAGGTGGAGGCTACAATGTTACTAAATTTAAAGAACGATTTAAATAAATTATAATTTTTTTCCTTCCTTTTTTTCTTCATCGTTCTAGATTAAAATGGCGAGATAGGCGCGAGACCGCCAAGAGTCGCGAGTATCGATTTCGTATGGTCAAAGGTTACACTTTCTGTGGACACAAGTTAGCCGACATGGCATACACTGCAGCAACTGTTAATCATTCCCAAGCTACTTCTTCGATCCTCCCAAACAATATATATGTATTGTATATTCCACAAACATTTTCAAACTACTGGAAAATATTTTAACACTATTTTATAAGGAAAACAACATTTTCTCCCAACAAACTATAAATATACAACCGGGAACTTTGGCATTTATACACTCCTGATAACCATCAACTCTCTTTCTCTCTCTATCTCTTCTTCAAAATATAAATCATCAATTTTTTAACAGAAAAAAAGAGACAATATTTATTCTGAATTTTTAAACCAATACAACAGGTTTAATGCAATTAAATTTACACAGAGAAAACATTTTTTTAATCACAGTCTTTCTAAGGACATCAAATGGAGACAAAAAACGTATCGAAACGTTGCTTCGCAACACTTTTGATACGTTTTTTTGTCTCAATTTTATATCCTTAGAAAGGCTGTGATCCAAAAATAAGTAACCAACCTGAAAAATATGTTTGAATTGGATTTCATTAGCTGCTTATGTTAATCATTAAATTAAATTTTATATTTGTTAAAATTCAATATTAAAACTTTAGTTATAAATTTTACTCGGTAAACTTTTATTTTACTAATTGTTTGGACTTCTACGAGAACTTTTACTTGGCGGAACTTTTTGCATCAAAGATGTTTTTGTTGTGAATAAAATACTTTTTGCATCATTAATAATATTCTATAGGGTATTTTATGAAACTGTTTAGTACTTTAGGCTTTACTTTTGTCTAAATGTCAAAAAATCCAATTCTTGACGAGAATTTAAAAAAATTTTTGAAAATATATTAATTTCTGCAAAGTATTTAATTACTTTTCAAAAGAATTGAATTCTTCTGATGAATTTTGATATTTAACAAAATAATTAAATTTCTAAGAGGAATTATAATAAAATTTTTAAAACTAATTGAATTTCTGAGATTTTTAGA